CCTGGGCCAAAGGCAGGCGCCAAACCGCTGCGCCGCCCAGGGTTCCCTAAACTACCAGTTTTAAGACAGTCCTGGGAGGGCGGCCCCGGTGGTGCAGCGGTTTGGCGCCGCCTACAGCCTGGGGTGTGATCCTGGAGACCCGGGATCGAGTCCCACATTGGGCTCCCTGCATGGACCTCTGCCTGTGTCTCTGCCTCTCTGAGTGTCTATGAATAAGTAAATAAAAATTAAAAAAAAAGTCCTGGGACATAAATCCTGGGGACCTAATGTACAGTATGGTATATATACCCAACAATGTTGTATTATATATTTAACTTATTTAAATATATTGAATATTTAATTATATATTTAGAAGGTGCTGAGAGTAGATCTTAAAAGTTCTCATCACAGAAAAAATTTGTAACTGTGTGGTGATGGATGTTAACTTGTGTTATTTTGCAATGTATCCATATATAAAATCATTATGGTGGGCAGCCCGGGTGGCTCAACAGTTTAGCACGGCCTTCAGCCCGGGGCATGATCCTGGAGACCCGGGATCGAGTCCCCTGTCGGACTCCCTGCATGGAGCCTGCTTCTCCCTCTGCCTGTGTCTCTGCCTCTCTCTCTCTCTCTCATGAATAAATAAATAAAATCTTTAAAAAGAATTATGTTGTACACCTGAACCTAATACAATGTCATGTCAATTATGTTTCCATTAAAAATAGAAATAAAGAATAAATAAAATTCTTTAAATCATTAAAGTATTCAGAGCTGATGAAGAATGAGATCAGCTACTTATTCTCAAATGGTTGTGGGGAGAGGGGAAGGCCTTTGTTCTAGCAACTTTTCTGTAAATTTGAGATTGTTTCAAAATAAAAGGAAAATAGTAATATGTAATGACACTGTAATGAAGACTGCTAGTGCTCCAGCCGGACAAGTCCCCTTTATCTTAGTCCATGCATCCATTCTCTAGCTGCTGTGAGTGTAGGAGCTGTCGTGCCCAGAGACACCTGAGTGAGTCATGCCACCTCTCTGCTCCTCTAGCCTCCCTCTTTGGCTTGTGGTGGCAACTAAGGCCTGACTGGTATGGGGTATAGTAGGTGTACCCTTTGCCTCAATGTGAATAATAGGACAACTAAGCTGTATGATCCTTCCAGAGCACCCTGTGGATCAGGCCGAAAATTTATCTGAGCTCTCATCCTTAGCTGACTCCTCTTATTTCCTTATCTTGCTTCTTTCACTCTCTTACAAGTTTTTCCTAAAGAGCACACTCTCAAAAGTCATGTGCACCTGAATCCCTCTCAGGCAGCTTCTAGGAAGTCCTAATTAAGATAGTCACATATTAGCTTAATAAAATGAAAGCTTTTATTATTAGCATCCATGACAACACCATTGATGTAAATCCAATGCATGTATAATAGGTTTACATAACTTATTTTACGGATCTGTTGGATTTAAAATCTCCTAACATCCTTATTTCTGTTGAACTGTATACTTTTTTTAATATGGAGAATTTATTAGAAACAACAGAAAAAAAAAAAAAAAGAACAGAACTCTGAAAAGTGCTCACTTTAAGATACCACTCATAGAATTCTCCCAAAACATCTAATTGAGTTGTCCTTATTAAGCTTGTTCCATTGCAACTCTTCCAGGAAGCTCTTTGTGGATTTCCCTTCTGAAGTGTGCTGCTAAAACTATGGCTTAGATTGGATTTGGGGATTACAATTTTCTGTTGCCTTAGCAGCAATGGTTCTCAATGAGGATAATTAATGTTTGCATTTTTTATTGTCTCAATGACTAGAGTGTGCTACCATATTTGACAGCCTGCAGTGCAGGAGGCATCATGCACAATCAAAGATCATCCCAAATTCAGTATCCAACATGACTATCAAAAGTCCTGTTTGACATTCATGAAGATGAAAAACAAGGCTGTAAATATCTGAGCCAAGCCCCTGTTAAGAAGGGCAGTGGGTTGATAAGCTTACTATGACATCTCATATTGCTAAATCCAATGGACCTTTCCATACTTTCAATTAACACTTCTACCTTAACAACTACTGTGGGCAATCTTTACATTACCTTGTATTAGTTTTCTATCATCTTACTAAGAACTCCTCAGTTCCCCTAGCCAGTTCCCCCCATGCTGACCAGCTCCTAAATGTTAAGAGTTCATCAGGACTTAGCTCACACTATACATTCACCTTGAGCAATCTCACTCATTCCCAAGGCTTTAAATACCACTTCTGCATACAACTTCAAAATTTCTATTTTTAGTTCCATACATAAAACTGTCTACTCGCCTTGGAAACTGGGTTAGGTGCCAAAACTGTACTCATGAGCTCAGTTTTTTTCCCCAGGGAACTTCCATGCATAGTCTCTTTAGGAAGAAATCCTTTCTTTTCATCACTTCTCACTTTCAAACCATCATTCTGTCCTGCTAACCTTCACCTGAACTCTATCCCCTTCTCAAGACCCTGATCATTACCATCATCTTACTTAGACAACTTTGTCACTGCAAAAGCTATAAATGACATGACCTTAGAGAAACCTTCCTAGTTCCAATTAAAAATTAAGTTTATGTGTTACATCTCCTGTCCCTCTGAACACTTTTTCTCCATGGCACATCATAATTTGTATCTTTTTTTTTAACATGATCTTACATTCCTTTATTATATATATATATATATATATATATATATATGTAAATGTTTTATGTACAATAATTAGTTCTATCAAATAATCATACCAAGGCCTTCTACTGGTAATCTTCCTCAAGATAGATTCAGGTGAGATTAGGTATTTGCGCACTTTGTGGACTAAATACACTTGAGACTTCGTGATTGATTGCAGTTTTGAGGCCATGCACACAATTCAAAATATACACAAACTGAATTAAGGCAATAAAGTGGGCTGAAAGAAAGCACAGGACTTGGATCGAATAAACTGTGTATTTTGCTTGCATTAGAGCCACCATGTGACCAGCAAATGCTTTGTGTGTCTCAGAGCTGTTTTACTGTAGTGTGAAGGGCTTCTGAACGCCTACAGTGATCGCGTGGCGGGTGGACAGACACTGCTGGACACTTCATTGAGGGCTCATTTCTTCTCTGCCTCTTCTCTCTTAGGTTCTTGTTTCAGTTTGTAATCAGCGAGGGCAGCCTTGATTGCATCTTCGGCCAGCATAGGGCAGTGCAGTTTCTCACAGAGGGAGGGCAGAGCTCCTTGGCGATGTCGGTGTTCTTGATGGTCAAGGCTTCCTCCACCGCCTTGCCTTTTACCCAGTCAGTGGCTAAGGAGCTGGAGGCAATTGCAGACCCACAGACAAATGTTTTAAACCTGGCATCCACAATCTTCTCCTTTTCATCCACTTGAATCTGCGATTTCATTAGTCACCACATGCTGGAGCCCCCACCAATCCAGTTCCAACATTTTTTGATGTCTTGTTCCGGGACCCCCATGTTTCTAGGATTTTCATAATGATCAACAACCTTCTTGTGATAGAGCCGAGCCGGAGCCGACAGTTCTCGGGCAGGCAGGTGCGGGCTCCGGAGCAGCAAGGCCGACGCTGCCGGCCTCAGACCGCCAGCTCCAGCTGACACCATCTTCCGGGCTTGCGCCTGTGCAGGCCGAGTGCGAGACCCATAATTTGTATCTTATATAATTCTTCTCTACTGTCTGATATTCTATCTTCCCTGGTAGACAGACAGTAAGCACTATGATGGCAGTGGCTACTTTATTCACCACTGTATCCCCAGCAACAAGCACAGTGCCAGGTTAGGTGAACAAATGAAACATTTGAGGTTTTTTCTCTCACAAAGAATTATGTTCTGTAAATGATAAAAACCATCCTCTTATTGGCTTATGTCCCATTCCACAATTTTATTTAGCTCTAAGCTCAATATTCCCTACAGATATATTTATATTTTTCTTATTTATAAAATATTGCTTCTCCTAAAAGAAGATGCATTTTCCTCCGTTTTTATGAATATTATGCAAACTACTCACAATTGGGCATTAGAGATAACCAATATTAAAGTACAAGAAAATGTTCAAAACATAAATATAATTACAGGTTACTATAGGTCCAGACACAAAATGGTTTTAATTTTATCTCACAATCCTGGGCCAAAATACTGTTGTCTCCAATGGTAAGATTGGCAAACTAATATATATAAAACAAGAACTTTTTTTAATACTAGGCTGTTTTCTTATATTAAATATTGGTAGTATAAAATGGTAGTATCTAGGGCAGCCCTGGTGGCACAGCGGTTTGGCGCCGCCTGCAGCCTGGGGTGTGATCCTGGGGACCCGGGATAGAGTCCCATGTCGGGGCCCCTGCATGGAGCCTGCTTCTCCCTCTGCCTGTGTCTCTGCCTCTGTCTCTCTCTGAATAAAATAAATAAATCTTTAAAAAAAATTAAAAATAAAATAAAATAAAATGGTAGTATCTATAAGATAAACTACTATATTTGGAAATAACTATTTAGTAATCCTGAAACAGATTCAATGTGGGGGGAAAACAGTTTTAAAAGGATGATTTAAAATATGAAATGCTTTTCCAGGTATGTAATTTACTGGCCTTTTGCAGAGTTTACCTGAAGTGATCTTTTACAGAACAGAAATGCAAAAATGCTGGAAGAAAAAGTACCCTAAAGCAAAATCCCAAATTGGAAATATTACAAAATCAGTACATCACACATAGTGTGAAATACAGATGTCAAATTGTTTGGGCACTGTTTTTTGATCACTTATTAAAGAAATACATAATTAAAATATTTTGGTACCATTTAAATACTGTTCTTCAAAAATTCTAATTTTTGTGACAAGGATAGAATACCAGAGAATTTTGCTTTGAATTTTGGAAAGCTTTTCCCCCAAAACAACATTTTTGAGTATGTATTTAAAAAGTCCAGTCTAAGGTGATTCATAAATAGTGAAAAATATGCAATTGTCTTTCTTCATGTTGTTAGGTTTTCCTAATAAGGTTAAGTTCTCATTCAACATGTTCTCTTAGTCAAAAGCAAATTCTCATTTCTTTGGCAGTAGGTACAAATATTTCATTCCACATCTGTCATTTCTATTCCATCACTTTCTTTAACATATACCACAGAATCCAAGGTTTTCTCTGAAAGACATCCTGAAATCTCTTTGTTTCTTGTAAAGTTTTCTTGGTTTGTGTCTTCTAATCTTATTTTCTTGGTGTTTTGAAATAACACTGGTTCCAACTTGCTTTTCTCAGTCCGTCGCATCAAATGATCATCCACTTTTGAATCCATACACATAGCAGATACCTGAGTAGCAGGTTTACCAAGGGAAAATCCCATTGGGATGGTTGAATAAATATAGTTTGCAGGTACCTTTATAAGTAGCAGAAACGTTTCTTCAACTTGATTGCTTGGAAAAGAAATGATAACAAGTGAATACAGTGGGAATTTCAACTAACCTCATGGCAGTGCTTGTTTTCATGAAATATCATGGTGGTGATGCCAAAAACAAAAGTAAAATTGCCTTCCACCTCTCAATGTTTACATTTCCTTTGTGGGAGGGTGTGCAGGTTCTGCAGATTCTCTGAAAGTCATTTTAAAAAGGAATTTACCAGATTTTATGCTTTATCACCTTTCAGAAAATAACAGAACTTCTCTAATCTGTTATATCATTTTTGCTATCAAAAACTTTTAACAAATTATTAATGGATTAAAGAAATAATTATTGAAGGCCAAACACTCTGCTGGGTGTTTGCCAAAAATAAAAGATGCCCAAACAATTGTAAACATTTGCCCACCTACTAACACACCATCAAAATATACAAAGCAGATAGAGAATTGAAGAGAGAAATAGGCAATTAGTTCTATAATGATAGTTGGAGACTTCAATACTCCACTCTCAATAGTGGATAGAACTAGATAGAAGATAAGGAAAGAGAGGACTTAACAGATTAAACCAAACAGATTTAACAAACATTTATAAGAACACTCTACTCAACAATAGCATACACATTCTCCTGTGCACTTGGGATATTTTCCAGGACAGACTATATGTTAGGACACAAATTAAGTCTCAATTTCTTTTATAGATTTTTTTTTTGAGACACACACCCGTGCACACACACACAGAATGTGCAAGGGGAGGGGCAGGAGGAGAGGGAGAGAGAGAGTCCTCAAGCAGACTCCCCATTGAATGTGGAGCCCTCTGTGGGGCTTGATCCCAGGACCCTGAGATCATGCCCTAAGCTGAAATCAAGAGCCAGCTGCTTAATCAACTGAGCCACCCAGGCACCCCAAGTCTCAACTGATTTTAAAAGATAGATATCATACAAGGTATCCTCTCTGCAACAGATTGAAGGTAGAAATCACTAACAGAAGTAAAACATGAAAATTTATACATCTGTGGAAATTAACACACTCTTTAACAACCACTGGACCAGAAGAAATCACAAGGGGAATTAGAAAATACTTAGGGGTGAATTTGAACAAAATTAAAACATATCAAAACTTATGGGATGCAGCTAAATCGATGCTAAGGGGGTAATTCATAGCTTATAAACACATTAAAGAAAACAAGACAGATCTTAAATCATCAACCTAACTTTGTAACTTAAGGAACTAGAAAAAGAATAAAAAACTATACTCATAGCAAAAGGAAGGGAATAATAAAGATTAGAGCAGATGAATAAAAAACAGGAAAACAACAAAACACAATGAAACCAAAGGTGGTTCTTTAAAAGATCAACAAAATTAGCAAAACTTTAACTAGATGGACTAGGGAAAAAAGAGAGAAGATTAAAATTATTAAAATTAGAAATGAAAAGTGGGGCATTACTACTGATTCTACAGAAATAAAAAGAATTGTAAGAGAGTGTTCTGAAAAGTTGTATGCCAACAAATTGAATATTCTAGCTGAAATGGACAAATTCCTAGAAACAAAACCTACCAAGACTGTGATGAAGAAACAGAAAATCTGAAAAGACCTACGACTACTAAGGAGATTGAATCGGTAATCAAAAAACTCCTGGCAAAGAAAAGCCCAGGACCAGATGGCATCACTGGCGAATTCTACCAGACATTTAAAGAATTAATACCAAGATTTTTCAACCTTTTCCAAACATTGAAGAGGAGGGAATACTTTCTAATTCATTCTGTGTTACTCTGATATAAAAGCCAGGCAAGGCACTACAAAAAAACAAACCTAGAGACCAACATTCCTAGTGTGCATTAACACAAAAAGTCTCAACAAAATACTAACAAACCCTGACCAAGTGGGTTTATTCCTACAATGCAAGAAAGGCTCAATATATGAAAATTGATCAACGTATCACATTACAGAATGAAGGAAAAGAATCACACAATCATTTCAATTGCAGAAAAATATTTGATAAAAATTCAACAAACTTTCATGATAAAACCAACAAACCAGAAAAGAAGGAAAATACCTCAACATAATACATGCCATAATATGAAAAACCCACAGCAAATAGCATACTCAATAGTGAAAGCTTTCCCTTTAAAATCAGGAATAAGGCAAGAATGCCCACTTTCACCACTTCTATATAATATAGTACTAGAAGTTCTAGCCAGAGCAAAACGATATAAAAGGCACACAAATTGGAAAAGAAGAAGTAAAATTACTTCTATTCACAGATGATAAGATTTTATATGATAGAAAACTCTGAAGACTCCACAAAAAAAAAAAACTGTTGGAGCTAATAAATGAATTTGGCAAAGTTGTAGGATGCAGTCAGCACACAAAAGTCAGCTGCATTTCTAGCCAAGAATGCTTTATCCAGCAAGGCTGTCATTCAGAATAGAGGATAAAGAGTTTCCAAGACAAAAACAAAACAAACAACTAAGGGAATTTGTGAACACTAAACCAGCTCTGCAAGAAATATTAAAGAGGACCCTTTGAGCAGAGAGAGAGACCAAAAGTAACAAAGACCAAAAGGAACAGAGGCAATCGGCAGGAATAGAAACTTTACAGGTAACACCATGACACTAAATTCATATCTTTCAATAATCACTCTGAATACTAATGAACTGCTCCAATCAAAAGACATAAACATCAGAATGAGTAAAAGAACAAGACCCATTGACATGCTGCCCCCAGAAGATTCATTTTAGACCCAAAGACACCTCCAGTTGGAAAGTGAGGGGATAGAGAACCATTTATCATGCTACTGAACATCAAAAGAAAGCTGGAGTGGCCATCAGACAAACTAGATTTTAAACCAAAGACTGTAATAAGACATGAAGAGGGACACAAAGAGATCTAACAATTGTAAATATGTAGGCCACAAACTAGGGAGCAACCCCAAATGTGTAAATCAGTCACAAAATTAAACACATTGATAATAATACATAGTAGTAGGGGACTTTAACACCCCACTTAACAGCAATGGACAGATCATCTGAGGACATCAATAAGGAACAAAGGCTTTTAATGACACTGGACCAGATGGACTTAACAGATATACCCAGAACATTTCATCCTAAAGCAGCAGAATACATACTCATTTTGAGTGCACACGGAACTTTCTCCAGAACAAATTATATACTGGGTCACAAATCAGGACTCAAACAGTACAAAAAGACTGAGCTTATACCATGCATATTTTCAGACCACAAATGCTCCATATCACTCGGTTATCAGGGAAATACACATCAAAACCATAATGAGATATCACCTCACACCAGTCAGAATGCTAAAACGAACAATTCAGGAAACATATGTTGGTGAGAATGTGATGAAAGGGGAACCCTTGTGCACTGTTGGTAGGAATGCAAACTGGAGCAGCCAATCTGGGAACAGTGTGGAGGTTCCTCAAAAAGATTAAAATAGAACTACCCTACAACCCAGCACTTGCATTACTAGGTTTTATCCGAAGGATAAAAAAATAGTAATTGTTAAATTTCTGTAAGTTTAAAACTGTGTCAAAATACAAAGTTGAAAAAAGTTAAAAATAATATACAATTAACCCTTGAACAACACAGGTTTGAACTGCATGCAAATTTTTTTTCAATAAATATGGCATAGTAATGTAAATGTATTTCTTAAGATTTTCTTAATAACTTTTTCTCTAGCTTACTTATAAGAGTACAGGAGAGAATATATATATATATAACAAACAAAATATGAGGTTTTTTTGTATTATTGGTAAGGCTTCCAGTCAGCAGTAGGCTATTAGTAATTTAGTTTTTGGGGAATTGATGGATATATGCAGATTTTTGACTGCATGGGCAGGGAGTTGGTGCCCCTAGCCTCTGCACTGTTGAAGGTTCAACAATAGTAACAAAACTCTGCAAAGCAAAGTACTGAATTTGTAATCAATAGTGGTAAAATAATGGTAACATATAGAGTTCTCAACTAACAAGTTAAATTTCAGTTTAATAGACGAGCTGAAGAGGAACCAAATACAATAGGGTAGATTTGGCCCTTTGAGTCTCACCTTGTCTGGAATATTGAGGACATGAAGGGAGAACAAGTGTACTTAGAGCCTTTTGGGCCTAGCATTTGGGTTGCCATTCAAGAAGAAATCTTGAATGCATAAGGAAGAATAAAGTTCCATTAGAAATTAATTAAATATGGACATACACAACAGACTTGCCTTACCATTAAGATATGCTACAAAGTCAAAGTAAAAACAAAAAACAATAAACAATAGTTTAGCACAGGTGCAGGAATAAATAAAGGACCAAGAGAACATGACAGAGTTCTAATATGGACCTAGTTATGTGCCAGAAGTTTACATATGGTAAAAGCACCATACAACAAAAGGGATAGAACAGATGAACTTAAGTAGGATAGTACTGTGAATGCTGGCTCATGATGTGGATGAAAATAAAGCAGGATCCCTATCTTACACACAAAAGTGGGCTCCAAATGCAGTAAAGACCCAAATGTGAGTCACAGAACTATAAACGCAATTTTTAAAATGTAGGACAATATATTTGTCAACTTGGGTGGAAAAAGATTTCTTGAAGAAAACAGATGGGGATCCCTGGGTGGCTCAGCGGTTTAGCGCCTGCCTTTGGCCCAGGATGTGATTCTGGAGTCCCAGGATCGAGTCCTGCGTCGGGCTCCCTGCGTGGAGCCTGCTTTTCCCTCTGCCTCTCGCTCCCTCTGTGTCTCTCATGAATAAATAAATACAATTTAAAAAAAAATAAAAGAAGAAAACAGATGGACCAGAGTACCCACAATTAAGAAATTTACTGAATAAAGAAACTATAAACAAAGTTAAAATGATGGAGAATGGAGGATGTGCGATACAAAGCGGACAAGGGATTTACAACTAGAATATAAAAATAATTACAAATCAACAAGAAAAAAGGAAATCCAATAGAAAAATGGCAAAAGATATAATTCACAGATTGGAGAATCTCAAATAGATAGTGAGTACATAAAGAGATGTTCAAACTTACTAAGAATCACAGAAATTCAAGTTTACTACCATCAGAATGGTACACTAGAAAGGTGGAAACATGAAAAATGAAGGAGAATACAGGGTGATGGGAAATCTTGTGCATTGCTGGTGGACTAATTCTTAGCTCCTGTTTCATATTCCATATCCCATCCTCCAATGAATTCTGTTTCTGTTTCTATTCTTGCCCAATCCTTCCCATTGCATGTTCTTCAAACTGTATCTGGCCATGAGCCTTTTAAACATAAGTCAGATCTCATCAATCCTCTGCTCACCACTCTGCTCTAGGTACTTTCCATGTCAGAGTGAAAGTCAAATTCTCTACATATTGAGTCTCCAATGGTAGGCAGAATAAGGGTATCCAAAGATGTCCACATCGTAATTCCCAGAACCTGTGAATATGTTACATGGCAGGGGAAATCAAGGATGCAGATAAGTAATGGTTGCCAGTCAACTGATTTTGAGGTGGGAAGATTATCCTGGACTCATCACTGATTATCAGTGTAATCACAAAGGTCTTCATAAGTGAAAGAGAGAATGATGCAGTGTGGGAAGGACCTGACTGGCCATTGCTGGCTCTGAAGATAGGACACCATGAGCCAAACAAAGCAGGCATCCTGCAGAAGCTGGAAAGACAAGAAAATGGGTTCTTCCTGAGAGCCTTCAGAAGGAATACACCCCAGCTGACATCCTGATTTTACTCCAGTGAGATCCATCTTGGACTTTTAACCTCTTAGAACTATATTAAATTTATGCTGCATAAAGCCACCAAGTTTCTGGTAAATTGTTACAGCAGCAATAGGAGACTAATACAACAGCTAACATTGTGTCATCTAAGCTCCTATCTCTCTCACTCATTCTACCCCATGACCTCATTGCTGTTCCTAAGCATATGCTATGCCAACCCCTTTTCTGCTTTAGGGCTCATGCATTTACAGTTCCCTCAGCCTGAAGCAATTTTTAAATTACAAGTCACTATTAAAAAAACAGACAAAACACATGGTTTTTAGGTAATGGGCAAAAGGCAGTGAAGGAGAATGGAAATAAACAAGGTGAGCCCTATAAGCACTGCCTGGAAATTTCAGGCTGCCACATGAGGATGGGGAACTCAAAGTATGTCTGGTTATTTCAGTGAGTGGAGAAGACAGGCGTTCAGAGCCTGCAGAAGCAAAGTCACTAGAACTTGCAGAGAGAGATTCAGTGAGGGAAAGAGCTCCAGAGATCTGTAGAGGATTCCCCACAATTCTTTGGCTGAATACTAATCAGAAAACACATGCTTAAGGAAAACTACTGAGGCCTGGGAAAGAACCCACCAAAGAGGAAAAGGCCAAATAGTTTGTAGAGCTTCCCCAGAGCCAAGAATAGAGTTCCCACAGCCCGAGTATAAAGAACTCCAACACAGGACACTGAACAGAGTCTCCAGAAAGGTACTGGCCTCAGAAAAGGGCCAGATTAGCCCTAAAGAGTATTTTGGACCTAATAAAGCTTAAAAGCAAGGTTCTAAAGCAGCGCTGTCCAACAGAACTTTCCTCAATGATAAAAATATTCTCTTTTGTCCACTCTATTAGCCACTAGCCACATGTGGCTTAAGATTTTGAAATGTACATAGTGCACATGAACTAAATTTTGTTTTATCTAATTTTATTAATATAAATTTAAAAATGCCACAAGTAGTTAATGGTTATTACTTTTGAAAGGGCAGCTCTAAAGGATACAACTGTTTCCAAGTAACATTACTATACCTCAAAACAAAGCCTAAATATATTTAAAGAAAACAAAAACCTCCAGCACCCAACAATATAAAATCTGCAATGTCTGGCAGCCAATAAAATTAACCAGGCATGAAAACAAGAAGAAAAATATGGCCCATAAGCAGAAGGAAAAGAAAATTAGTTAATAGAAACAAACCCAGAAATAACACAGGTGATATAATTAGCAAACAAGGACTTTAATAGCTATTTTAAATATCTTACAGATTTTCAAGAAGGTAGAGCAAAGCATGAGCATGATGAGATTAGAAATGGAAGATATTAAAGAGATTTAAACTTCCAGAGATGAAAAAACAATCCTGACATTTAAAAAAAAAAAATACTGGGGATGGGATTAGCGCCGCCAAAGGAAAGAAGAGTGAATTTGAAGATGTATCAAAAGATATATTAAAATGAACAGAGTACCAATTAGCTGTGGAACAACATCAAGCAACTTAACATATGTTCAATTGGGGCCCCAATTGTTTTCTTAGGGAACAAAGGAGGTATAGGAAAAAAGAAGATGAAATAGGGGCTTTCGGGCAGCCTGGGTGGCTCAGTGGTTTAGCGCCGCCTTCAGCCCAGGGCCTGATCCTGGAGACCGGGGATCAAGTCCCACGTGGGGCTCCCTGCATGGGGCCTGCTTCTCCCTCTGCCTGTGTCTCTGCCTCTCTCTCTGTGTCTCTCATGAATAAATCAATAAGATCTTAAAAAAAAAAAAATAGGGGCTTTCATAGTGAAGCTTGTGAAATGAAGGGGAACTAAGGGAATAGAAAACACACACCTTAGAATTACACAGCAGTGTCTGTCACAGGGAAGAGAGCACAGGTACTATAAAAGGATTAGTTGGGGCAGGAGGGAGCACTTACCACTCTTTGGATTTCCATAGAGGGAAGAAAATGTTCAATTTCTTGGGTTGGGGGATGAAGTCAACAGTCCTTGATAGGGAAAGAAAGGAAAATCTTCATGCCATGGTTTGACCTTAAAATGTCCTTTTCCTTACAGGGTTTGCAAATAGTCTTCAGTAACATCTAGAGGTGCACGTAAATGCTTAAGCTTTTCTTATTTTTTCCCTAGGGGAAGTAATTTCCTACTTTCCATATTAGTAATCTCCTTCTTTCTCCTAAATCTTTAACTCTGAGAGTTTTGAGGTTCATACATCTTTTATTCACAATCTTAGTATCTGGAGACGAAATGAGATTTCATAATGTTTTTCCTAAAATAATTTTTTAGGATGGTCTTTGAGAGTTCATGCTTCATTTTTTTCAATTAAAAAAAATTTGTGAAAATATTTTATTTATTTGAGAGAGCAAGAGAGGATGGGGTGGGGGAGGGCAGAAGGAGAGGGAGAAGCAGGCTCCTCCTGAGCAGGGTCCCAGGACCCTGAGATCATGACCTGAGCCAAAGGCAAATGCTTAAACAACTGAGCCACCTAGGTGCCCCTAATTTTAAAATTTTTAAAAATTTAAATTAAAAACGCACACAACATGGGGCTTAAACACACGACCCCAAAAGCAAGTCACACACTCTACTAGCCAGGCACTCCAGTTCATGTTTCTTTGTAACTTATTTTATTAGGCATAATTATATTTCAGAGGAAATATAGTTATGGCGCCTCTGACTTCAGAGGAAATATAATTACGGCACCTCTGACTTCCTTGTTTAAAAGAACACACTCAGATTAATTATTTAGTGACTAGCTATACTTAGCTGAAAGTATATGATAGCTGAAAATAAATGCTACAAACTAGAAGATGTAACGACATAAATAATGAAGAAATCGGAGATGGGGAAAAATAACGGCACTCATAATTAAACGTACTTTTACGAAGAAATTTGTTCTAACATGTATTTATGACTGCCAATAACATGCTGTGGAGGGAGAGAGAAATGAGTACTCACCTGGCAAAAACGGGAATTGCTAATCTCTTCAAATGTGAAATTACTTTTGAAATACAGAGTTGCAAAGTTTATCAAGATCATCAGAGAACAGCTATAAAAATCTAGTTAACTATTTCACCTGTAGGAAAAGATACGGCGATAAAGCCATTCGAATTTAGAAGCCTTTGGGTTAGGATAGATTAATATTAAGAAATGTTAAAAATAGGATTTCTTTTCAAGCCGGGCTCCCAAAATTTGGCAGATGAACGCAATCCTCATTCTTTTTCACTAAAAAGCTCATTCCTCTACTTTTAGGTAAGGTGATGGATTTTAACATAGTTGGATGGCCGATAATGTTACACTTGGTTAAATTAAAAGAGTGTTCCAAAACTGAAGGCTCCTGCTCGGGAGAAGACAAATGCAGATGGTGTTAAACAGGCAAACAATCGATACAATATTAAATATCAGGTGAGACAGTATACCCTTTCCCCTTTTGTTAACCATCACCAGTTTTTCTGGAAAGAGGTCTTTGGGGAACCGGCACGTGGAGAAGAACACCGGTCAGGGATCTGCGCCTTTTCACTACGAGTTGTGCCACCTCCCGATTCAGCCATGGCTGACTGGTGCAGGGCTGACCGGGTCGTGGGTCTGCTGGCTCCCCCGGCTGCAGGCGCTTACCCGGACAGAACTGCTCTCTCCGGCGAGGCTGCAGCAGCAGGACCCGACCTAGGAGACTCCCCGAAAGCCGGCTCCTGGTTACGGCAGGAGAGCTCAGCAACCTTCCAGCGCCTAAAAGGGAGTAACGAGTTCACTGAATGTGGGTCCAGAACGACACCGTATCCCGAGGGGAAAAAAAAATGCCACAAAACTGCAACAGCAAAGCAACAGGTGTTCCAAGAGCGGAGGGAAGAAGGCAGGCGGAGATACAGCCCTGCGCATGCGCGTTCCATCCAGGTGCGGCAGCCACAGGCAGGGAGTAAGAATTAAGCTGTGGAGAAGCGGACAGCGGCTCGTTGTTACTAGGAGACGGGACGCTCGGGTGGGACGTCTAGGCCCTGCGTGGTCGTACGCCTGCGCGGCGCGGATGGACCAGGAAGAGGCGTCTGCTCCGCGCCCTGTACGGTGGGCAGGTGGACATACGCGTCGCTACGTGCGTGGCTGCGCACGCACGGCTGTAGTCCCCGCGAGAGAGAGAGGCGAGCCAGGTACGCGTGCGCACGGGAACTGGGGGCGCGCGGGACGGAAGCGGAGCGAAGGCGCCGGGGAGGTGGAGGACGAGCCCCCCTCAGGTACAGAGCGTGAGGGCGGGGCCGACGGCGGCGCCGACCGGCGCTAACCGCCCCCGCCTCCTTCCCCCCGGGTCCCGCCTTCCTCTGCCTCCGCCGGGGCGGGGCCAGGCCGCAATAGGGGTGGGAAGGGAGGGGAAAGGGGCGGAGGATGGAGACGGGGAGGGACCTGGATCCCTGGCGCCGGCGGTGGCCTGCCAGTCGTCGCGATGAGCTCCGGGGAGGATGTCGGGCGGAGGAGTCCGGGGAGGGACTCGGAGCTCCAGGTAGAGGCAGCAGGGATGCGCCGGGTTGGGGTAAAGCCGCGTCTGGGTCGGAAGGCCCCGCATGCGGGCGCGTGTGACGGGGATTGGAGGCCGTGGGTGACCTCCGAGGCGGGAGTTCGCTGCTGGACTGGCTGCGAACCCAGCCAGGGAAGCCCACCAGGAGCCGACTTTGCCCCTGTTGTCGTTTCTTGGGCGCTTCGGGTTGAGCCCAGTTCCTATGGTGACCGCTTCGCTTCCTGCCGCAGCTCTCCGCCTGGTTGTTGGGGGCACTGTTCTGTTTAGAAACGCTTGGACTGGAGGTGAGGAATTTGGAAGTCAGAGATTTGGGAGTTCAACCTGCTATTCCCGACTCCCAGCCTCTCACTTCTAAGCCTCTTTATAGTCTTTGGGAGGTGAAGGGCCGAGATTACGTAGGTATTTGCATGAAAATCTCACGTAATTTTCGGTAGAGATTATACACAGGAAAGGCAGAGTAAACTGGGTTTTGTTTGAAAAAAAATATTTGAGATTAAGGTTGAATAACTGCGGCGATTATGGACCGGACATCTAATTACACAAAGGAATACATTGTTATTGTATGATATATGATATATATATGATATATATATATATAATAATAAATGATATAATTTCAAATATCATTAAGTACAAATAACCTGATGAGAGAGTATTTAGGGGATCCCTGGGTGGCGCAGCGGTTTGGCGCCTGCCTTTGGCCCAGGGCGCGATCCTGGAGACCCAGGATCAAATCCCACGTCGGGCTCCCGGTGCATGGAGCCTGCTTCTCCCTCTGCCTGTGTCTCTGCCTCTCTCTCTCTCTCTCTCTCTCTCTCTCTGTGTGTGTGTGTGTGACTATCATAAATAAATAAAAATTTAAAAAAAGAGAGAGAGTGTTTAGGAGAGAGGCTACTGTAGGTAAGAAGGCAGGGAAGACCTACTAACGTCTGAGCCAGAGAAGGAATCAGCCGTGTACAGGGCTGGGAGAGAGAGTGTTCTTAAGAGAGGGAAATCAAGAACAGAGACCTTGAAGTGGAATGAGATGGGCACAGTGGAGGAACAGAAAGAAAACTAATAAAGCTGATGGGTGAAAAAGAGTACTGGGTCTACTTAGGGAAGTGAAGGCAGGGGCCAAATCATGTAGCATCTTAAAAAGTGTGAATTTTATTCTAATTGCAGTGTGAAGCCATTGGAGTGTTTTTGAGCAGGATCTCATTATTTTAATTAAAGTGATTGTTTTGATTTCAGTTCAGAAAAAAAGTTGTAGGGAGCAACAATAGAAGCACGAAGACCATTTAGGGAACTGTTACAGTAATTATGTGGGAGATGAATATGGAGGTAGTAATAAGCATGTTGAGAATGGATTTGAGAAATATTTTAGAGGTAGAACTAACACAGTTTGTTGTTGGGGGTCAGGGAAAGAGGAAACAAAGACAATCCCTTGGTTTTTGACTTTGGGCATTACACAAATGGTGGTGCATTTGACATGGGAAAAACTGGGAAGGAACATAGTGGAGGCAGGGTTGAGAGCAGGAGTGCAAGTGGGGGACCTAAGAGGTCTTTTTTATGGGCACCTGGGTGGCTCAGTGGTTGAGTGTCTGCCTTTGGCTCGGGGAGTGATCCCATGATCCATGGGTCCTAGGACGGAGTCCTGCATCAGGTTTTTTCCACAGGGAGCCTGCTTCTCTCTCTGCCTATGTCTCTGCCTCTCTTTCTGTCTCTCATGAATAAATAAATAAAATCTTAAAAAAAAAAAAAGGTCTGTTTTAGACATGTTAAAGTTGTGATGGTTCTGGACATTCAGTAGATACAGTACAATGTGTTAAGTGCTCCAATAGGAGTATAGTCATGGTTTTGGAGGAATATGGAAAATATGTCCTAAATCTTTTTTGGGGAAGTTCAAGTCAAAAATACTTTTTTGTAGTCTTTTTCTCTAAATTTCCTTAGCATACATGTGCTTTCCTCTGATATGGCATTAATCCTATTATACTGTAAATTCTGATTTGTTTGTTCAGGACTTCCCTAGACCCATTGAGGGATGAGGTTGTAGGTTTTTATTTGTTTTCCTTGTTTTTTTGGTTTCCTTTTTAAAGGAGGGGTGGTGCAGAAGGAGAGGGAAAGAAAGAATCTTAAGCAGGCTTCATGCCCCACACAGGGCATGATCACACAACCCTGAGACCTGAGCCAGAATTAAGAGTTGGATGCTTAAATGACTGAGCCACCTAGGCACCCTACAAATTATTTCTCTAAATCACACAATTTCTGAGCTACATTGTCATGTAAAAAAGCATAGTGTGGAGTAGTATGCATAGTATGCTAAAGTGAAAAATATTTTAACATGTCATTTTGCACATGTGCAAATACATTATGTACCAAAAATTCCTAAAAGGGGAATTATTTATATAGAAGCTATATGTATTTGTAATGTTAGATTTTGTGTAATTGTTCTTCAGAAATATTGTATCAATTTATACTGTCCCCAGTGATGTATAAGAATGGTAAATTATATATACAGCTTTCTGATCTTTGCCAATGTGAGGTTAAAAGTGATATCTTGGTATTTTAATTTGTGAGATTGACTGTCTTTAAATCTGTTTAAAAGCCATTTCTGTGAAATATCCATATTCTTTGCTAGTTTTTCTATTAGGGTATTTCTTTTCCTTTTTTATTTACAGAAATTATTCTAATATTAGGGAAGTTAGCCCTTTGTAATATGGGTAGCAAACTTTTTTGTTAATATACAAAAGAAGCAATAAATAGGTAGCTAGTACCTATTATATTGGACAACACAGGCCTAGAAGTAGTCTACATAATTTGCCTATGACCCATATTTTCTTAGAACAATGATTACCAAAGGGATAGGATGGGCTATGTCTTTTTGGAAAAGCATGTTTAATATTGTAGTTTTATGTTTGGAAAACAAAAAGTTTCATAAAGTGAGGTTTTTAAAAAGTAAAGCTTGATGAAAATTCTTTTAGCTGGTGAGGCAAAGTTAAAAATAATTGAAAATGTATCTAAGAATATTGTTAATTTTCAAATGTCATTGATTGTTGTGAAGAATCACAAAACTGTTTTAAACTGAATGTCTTGGTATCATTCCCATTTTTTCTACTAGGTTACCACCAAAGAACATGATTTTGGTCTAGGGGCTCCAGTTTCTGAAGCTGAAAAATACCAGAATACTCTCCAGCTAGAACAAGAAGTGAGAAATCAAGATAAATTCATCTCTGCACTGAAATTACAGGTTACATTTAATTTCTGTATTTCCCTGAATTATTTTGGAATGGGCCTATTTTAAAAAAGAAGATGAATAATAAATACTAATTCAGTGCTCACTGAAATCTTATGGGTCTAAAATCATTCCATTTTTATCTTACCCATTTTGATACATGCAGATTCAGATACATATGAGTGCAAACTGCATGGCAAGTGTTGTATCCAGTGCTTTTAAGTACATAATCTTTCTTGATTCCAACCTCGTGAAGTAGTGATGTGATTTTATCTTTTAGACATGGGAGCTGAAGTTCCAAGAGGCTATAGAATTATAATATTTGACTAACAAGTGACGGAGCTAAGTTGGATTTGTCTGAACTCCCAAGTTAGCTAGAATTTGAACCCAGTTGTCTGAACTCCAAGTTCAGTATTGTCTGTTCTCCTAGTGGCTGACCTGTGGTAAGGCTCTTAAAAGGAACTTCTCTTCTCTAGGAAGATAGAGTAGACTCCCTTTATGCACCCCACTAAGCACAACTAAAAATGCTGAACGTTTTGTTATAAAACAAACATAAGGACATTCTGAAAGGTGGGCAGAAGAAGGAAGACTGGCTAGGGACCTCAGTATATAGTAAGTGACTTGTTAGTGAATTCCTGGGTTTTCCTTTTGCTCCGTGTATCTCAGACAGTGCTGGAAAAACTGACATCTAGAAACAATGGATGCATGCAAGAAAAGTTCTCAGAGGAGGCATTCCTACAGCTAAAGGACTAGGAAGGGGGCAGCCTAGCAATGTAGACCACTTTTTTTTTTATGCTTTACGTTTTTATAATTTATATACATTTTTAATTTGGAAACAATCTCAAATTTATCTAAAAGTTGCAATTATGGAAGAAAGAATATCCCCTCACCCTACCATTTGAGAGTAAGTTATAGACCTAATGTCCTGATATCCCTAACATTTGAGTGGCTATTTCTGTAAATAAGTACACTCTCCTATAAGATCACAATACAATCTGGTAAAATCAGGAAATGAACTTTAGTACATTGCTGCCAGCTAGTCCTCTGACCCTATTCAAGTTTTTGCCAGTTGTCCCATAATGTCCTCAATCACAAAAAGATCTAGTCCAGCATCACACGTTGTGTTTAGTTATTGTGTCCCTTTATCTCCTTCATTCTGGAACATTCTTCTTTGATTTTTATGACCATGACACTTTGAAGAATACAGGCCAATTATTTTGTAGAATGACCACTGATTTGGGTTTGCTATGATTATCTTTATGTTACGAACCTTTGGCTCATAACATATGTGGTAGCCAGCCTTCAAATTGGCGCCACCCTCTTTACTCCCACTTTAATATAGTCTCCCTGCACATGGTACCAAAATTGATCTTTATGACCAAGAGCATAGAGCAGAAGTGATTAAGTGAGAAACAAGCTTCCATGTTGTGAGCAGCTCTGTGGATAATAGGCCCACGTGAAAAGGAGCTCAAGTAGTCAGTAACCAGTGAGAAACTGAGGCCTGCCAACTGTGATGGTGAGCTTGGAAGTGTATTTGCCAGCCCCACTTAAACCTTGCCAGAATGACTGTCACCCTAACTGACTCCTTTCACCTAGTGAAAGACCTTAAACCAGAATCACCAAATTAAGCCACTCCCAGATCCCTAATCCCAGGACACTGTGACATAATAAGTGTTGGCTTAAGGTACAAAATGAATACAGACAGGAATATCACAAAAGTGATGATGGATTCTTTTCATTGCATCCTATCAAGTAGCACACAATTTCATTTTGTCCCATTACAAATGATCTTTATTTGGATCCCTCGATTAAAGTGTTAACTTCTGGGCTTTTCCCTGGTGAAGTTCCTCTTGTTCTCTTTTAATTATTTTTTATTTTTAATTTTTTATATTGAAGTATAGTTGACGCACAGCACAGTGTTACATTAGTTTCAGGTGTACAGCATAGTGATTTGACAAGTCTATATGTTACACTGTGCTCACCACAAGTATAACTGCCATCTGTTACCATACAGTGCTAATATGATATCATTGAGTATATTCCCTATCTTTTAGCCTTCATCTTCATGACTTACTCATTCTGTAACTGGAAGGCTGTACCTCTCACTCCTCCTCACCCTTTTTTCCCATCCTCCTACCCTCTGGCAACCATCATTTTGTTCTCTGTATTTATGGGTCTGTTTCTAATGCAGACGATTTTTGGACAGTAACTGGCTGTTCAGATACCATGAAAAAAGCTATAGCCCCACTCCTGCTGGCAAAGGCTGAGTAAAAAGCCTAGACTTCCACCCTTTTCAGGCTGTGACAGAGAATCCCAACCATACCTCATGCCCCATCCTCTAAGCCCCCTATCCCATCAAGGTTGTATCAAAGAGAAATGCTGGGTGGGAAGTCAAGACCTTAATGCTCACCAGGCAATAAGTATCCCCCAACCCCATAGTGTTGGCAAAGACCACATGGGGATCCTAGATAACCACCCTCACCCAGAATAAGGAGGTGTCCCCTTTCCTTTTTGTTGAGCTGGTGTCAGAGGGGACCTCATACAGAGTCAGGACTTTTACCATCTCCTAGCAATAACAAGTCCACCCACCCACAGTAGTGGTGAAAGATACATGGGAGCAGAAACAAGGTATCTGTATTCTATCTGCCTGTGGTAGTATTAGCAGAGGCCTGGTGGGGACCTGAACTCCCATCCCTGCCTAGCAGTAACGACGAAACCAGCCCTCCCCAGGTATCAACAGAGGCCTAAGAGAGAAATTGGACTTCCACCTACACCTAGCAATAAGAAGATAGCATCTCCCATTTTTAGTTTGAACTAAAGTCACAGGAAGTGTGACAAGAAGCCTACTAAAACTCAAGAGCATATCTCAATGAAAAAAATCACTTCTTATCTCAAGAAGCAGGAATATCTCCACCTTGATGAGCAAAGACAACCAAGAGATGCCAACACAGAGATGTCTCACAGGATTAGAGATTGTCTCACAAGGATTTTAAATCAGTTACCATATAAATGCTTTAAGCAATTCTGAGTGTGTTTGAAACAAACGCAAAACTAGAAAATCTCATCAAATAAATAAAAGATATAAAGAAGAACCAAGCGAAAATTTTGGAAGCAACAAAGTTGTTCTTCAATAGATGAATAGATAAGCAAATTGTGTTATATCTGTACAATGGAATATTATTTGTTGGTAAAAAGAAATGAGCTATCAGGCCACAAAAAAGACATAAAGGAAACTTGAAAGCAAATTGCTAGGTGAAAAAAAAAATCTGAGGTTACATACTCTGTGATTCCAACTATATGACCTGGAAAAGGCAAAACATAGAGACATTAGTAAGATCACTTATTGCCAGGGATTTGGAGGAAGGAAGGGTGAGCCGGGTGAATGGAGCACAGGTGTTTTAGGGCAATGAAACTATTCTATATTGTGTATGTTACAGTAATGGTAGATACATGTTACTATGCATTTGTCAAAACCCACAGAATCTACCACCCAAAGAGTAAACCCTAATATAAACTCCAGACTTAAGTTAATGTGTCAGTGATCATTAATGGTAGCGAATGTACTAAACTAATACCATTCATAACTTAAGATGGGAAACTGTGTGTTGGGTGGGGAAAAAGGGTATTGGGAACTCTGTACTTCCTGATCAATTTTTTTTGTAAACTTAAAACTGCTCTAAAATAAAGTCTAGGGGTGCCTGGTGGCTCAATCAGTTAAGCATCTCCCTTCAGTTCAGACTATAATCCCAGGGTCCTAGGATTGAGCCCCACATCTGGCTCCCTGCTCAGCAGGGAGTCTGCTTCTCCCTCTCCCTGCTCATGTGCACATGCATGCTCTCTCTGCCTCAAACAAATAAAATCCTTTTAAAAAAGTCAAATCTATTAAAAATGTATTGGAGAAAATATTTCCAAATCATATATCTGATTAGGGATTAATATTGAGAACATATATAAAGAACTTTACAACTCAGCAATCAAAAAGCAAAACAACCCAATTCAAAAGTGGACAAAGGACTTGAATAGGCATTTTTTCAAAGATACACAAATGGCAAATAAGCACATGAAAAGATGGTCAACATCATCATCCATTGAGGAAATGCAAATCAAAACCACAATGAGGTATCACTTCGTACCTATTAGGATGTCTGTTATCAAACAAAGTAACAAGTCCAGGTGAGGTGGTCTAGAAACTGGAGCCTTTGTGACTTGCTAGTGGGAGTGTAAAATGGTGTAGCCATGGTGAAATAAAGTTTGGCAGTTCCTGTAAAAGTTAAATATAGAATTACCCTATGATCCAGGTATTCCACTCCTAGGTATATCTCCAAAAGATTAAAAATAGGAATTTAGATACTTGTACACTGACGTTCTAACAGCATGATTTTTAATGGCCAAAAAAGGTGGAAGCAACCCAAATGTCCATCAATAGGTGCTTAATAAGATGTGGTGGGTACATATGATGGAATATTATTCAGCCTTAAAAAAAAGACTAAAATTCTGATACAAAACTACAACATGGATGAGACTTGGAAATATTATCCTAAGTGAAATAGGCCAGGAACAGGGACTAGGCAAATTCATAGAGAGTTATTGTTTCATGGGTACAGACTTTGAGATGATAAAGTTCTGGAAATGGATGTGGGATGGTTGTACAACATTGTGGATGTAGTGGATGTACTTAATGCCACCAAATCGTGTACTTAAAAATGGTTATTAGAATGATAAATTGTGTTTTACCACAATGAAAAAAACTTTACAATAACTGAAATTAAAAACTCAGTGTTCTCAAACAACAGGTTGGAAAGAAGAGAGAAATGAATTGGTTAACATGAGAATAGGAAAATAGAAATAATGTAAACTGAAAAAGTATAATAAAATGGGAAGAGTCATTCTCTTTGAGTTCAAAGCTTAATGTATAACTACAGTAGTTAAGACTGTATGATATTACTAGAGGGATAGATATAGGTCGGTGATAGAGAATAGAAAATCCAAAAATAGCCTTCTACAAGTACAGCCAAAGGTTATTGACAGAAGTGGAAATGAGTTTGATGCAGAAAAGATAGTCTTTTCAACAAATGGTACTGAAACAATTGGATATCTTTTAGGGAAGAAAAATGAACCTAGACCTAAACCTCACACCTTGGGCAGCCCTGGTGGCTCCGCGGTTTGGTGCCGCCTTCAGCCCGGGGCATGATCCTGGAGACCCTGAATCGAGTCCCACGTCGGGCTCCCTGCATAGAGACTGCTTCTCTCTCTCTCTCTCTCTCTCTCTCTCTCTCTCTCTCTCTCGTCTCTGTCTCTCATGAATGAATAAATAAAATCTTAAAAAAAAAAGGAAAGAAAATAAACCTCACACCTTATACAAAATTTACAAAAATTAATTCAAAATGGATCATAGGTTTAAAATGTAAAACAGAGAACTATGGAACTTTTATAGGGTAACAGACAATCTTCAGGACTTTGGGCTTGGTGAAGAGTTGTTAGATGTGACACCGAAAGCATGATTCATAAAAGAAAAATTGATAATTTGGACTTCATTAAAATTTAAATCTTTTGCTTTGTGAAAGACTCTATTAACAGGATGAAAGAATAAGCTATAAACCTTATTTTTGCCAGAAGAATTATGTGTATCATATGTAGGATATATGAAGAATTCTTAAAACTCAGTAGTAAAAATCAACAACCCAATTAGAAAATGAACAAAAGACATAAGGAAATATTTCATAGAAGGATATATGTTGATAAGCACATAAAAAGATGTTCATTTTTTCTAAACGTAGGGAAATGTAAATTAAGATCAAGATGAAATAACAATACACACCTATAAGAACAGTTAAGATTAAAAATAGTGACAATATCCATTGCTGGCAAGGATAAGGAGAAACCACATCACTCATACGTTCATGGTAGGAATGGGAAATGGTGCACCGCTCCAGAAAATAGTTCTTATAAACTAAACATACCATACAACCCAACAATTGCACTCCCAGGTATTTATTCCAGAGAAATGAAAACTTATGTCCACTCAAAACCCTGTATATGATTGTTCATAGGAGCTTTATTTGTCATAAAGAATGGAAACAGGGCAGCCCCGGTGGCCCAGCGGTTTAGGCCTGCCTTTGGCCCAGGGCCTGATCCTGGAGACCCGGGATCGAGTCCCGTGTTGGGCTCCCTGCTTGGAGCCTGCTTCTCCCTCAGCCTGTGTCTCTGCCTCTCTTTCTCTCTCTGTGTCTCTTGTGAATAAATAAATAAAATCTTAAAAAAAAAAAAAGAATGGAAACACCTACAATTTCCCTTAATTGGTGAGTGACTAGACAAACTGGTAATCTGTACCATGGAATGTTACTCAACAACAAAAGAATGAACTATAGATCTGTGTAACTTGGATAGATCTCGTGGTATTATGCTGAGTGAAAAAGCCAATGTCAGAAGATCACATACCCTGATCTTTATCACGTGATCTTATTTATATAACATTCCTGAGAAGACAAAATTAAAGAGATTAGTGGTTGCTAAGAGTTAAGGATGGGGAGGGGGGAGGATGTGACTATAAAAGGGTAATAGGAGTGCAATCTTTGTGGTGATAAAATAATGTATCTTAGTTCTACAGCAGTCTGTACATGGGATCACATTGTAACAATGCCAAATCTCTGAGTTTGAGATTGTACTATAATTATTTAAGATATAACTATTGGGGAAAGTGGGTTAAGGGCCCAGGGGACCTTTTTGTATACTTTGCAACTTCCTGTGAATCTTCTGGTTATTTCAAAATAAGTTTTTTTAAAAGCTATTTTTGAGGACCTGTCATCTGCCAGAAATTTTACTTGAACTTTTTTTATGTGACTACAACCCTGCAAGTTGTAGGTATTCTGTCTACTTAACAGATGAAGGTCAAGAGGCTTCCATTTATTTTTTCTGAAGTTAGAGGCATGCATCTCTTAGGATCAAGAAAATATGGTAAATTGTCCAGGGTTAAGTAATTGGCGAAGAACTACAACAGAATTTGAACCTATCTGCCTAATTCCAAAGCCTACATCCTTTCTACCACTTGAAACTGCCTCTTCTAAAGTACTTGTTGGAGTTCAGTAGAAGTAGGGCTTGCTTGATGTTAGAAGTGAGGAGACTGTTTCTTTGTTTTATTTATTCATTTAAAAATAATTTGAGCGTTATATGCTAGATACATAGTAAATGATACAGAAATGAGAGGTGTGGGATGCCTGGGTGGCTCAGTGGTTGGGCGCCTGCCTTCGGCTCAGGTTGCAATCCCGGAGTCGGGGATCAAGTCCTGTATCAGGCTCCCTGTGGGGAGCCTGCTTCTGCCTCTGCCTGTGTCTTTGCCTCTCTCAGTCTGTGTCTCTCATGAATAAATAAATAAAATATTAAAAAAAAGAAATTAGAGGTGTGTTAATACTGAAGTTGGAGACAATCCCTTTAAAGCTTAGAATTTAGTGGAAGGGACAGGGAGTTAAATAATATATGTTATAAAATACCAAGATTAAACTGTGTAAGAGGCTTAATGGTACTACAAAGTGGAGGAGCATTTAGCCTCTCCTGGTACAATGGAAGGTTAGCAAACATTTTTAGTATGCTCTTATTGCTCAGAAATGTGGCACTATAGAAGCCATAAATAAAGATAAAAAGACATATAGATAGATAAGTTGAAGTTTATGTTTATCCCACATCCTATAGTTTTTTTTAAATTTTTATTTATTTATGATAGGGAGAGAGAGAGAGAGAGAGGCAGAGACACAGGCAGAGGGAGAAGCAGGCTCCATGCACCGGGAGCCCAACGTGGGATTTGATCCCGGGTCTCCAGGATCACGCCCTGGGCCAAAGGCAGGCGCCAAACCACCGCACCACCCAGGGATCCCCCACATCCTATAGGTTTAAAAAAGATACAAGTAGTAAAAATAACTTAGGTAATAAGAATAGGGGAAGATAAACTTTGTGAAAGCATGAGACAAGAATAGCAGACAGGAGATCATTGCACACAGGTTCTGTGCTAGTTGCTAGAGGTAGGTTACAGATAGGCTTTAAAATTCCCTGAGACCAGGGCAAAAAAGGAAATTTTAGTTAATTCACCACAGGGATGCCTGGGTGGCTCAGCAGTTAAGTGACTGCCTTCAGCTCAGGGCGTGATGCTGGAGTTCCCGGATCGAGTCCCACATTGGGCTCCCTGCATGGAACCTGCTTCTCCCTCTGTTTGTGTCTGTGTCTCTCATGAATGAATAAACAAAATCTTAAAAAAAAAGTAATTTATCATAAATCCTGACACATAATTATGTTCAATGAGTCTAATATATTTTTTTCCTTTAAAGGCATTTGGATACCTCCATAATAGAAAAGGCCCCTTTCTTCATCCGTTGATGAAGTTTGATAGTGGGCTGGGAAGGAAAGCTGTGGTTTGATAGTGGGCTGGGAAGGAAAGCTGTGGTCCTCCAATTTAGTCAGCAAATACTTGATTGATTTGGTATTTAGCTTAGTCAAGTAAGTTACTGATATGTTCAAAAGAACTTTTTTTTAAAGAGTTAACATATTTTGGTAACAATTAGAAATTTAATTCTAAAGAACATCTAATTGATATAAATTATTAAAATTAGTAATTTCAAGACTGATTTATCTTGTGAAGATATAAATATTTGGCTATTTTTCTAATAGTTTTATTTGAAAATCAAAACTTAATAGTAATTGTTTATTATAAATTGTCTTAGAAGATGTAGCTATAAACCTTTAAATTTTCTTTTAATATATTTTTTCAGATAGGTATTACATTCACATGGTGCAAATTTTGGAAAGTGAAAAAATGTATATACTTAGGTTTCCTTCCAAGGAAATAAATCTCCCTTCCTGATTCCAGTTATCTAATTGTTCTCCTCAGAGGAAATCAAGGGAAATATTTTAATATGATTTTTTTTTCTAATTACAACAGATTGAAGATCTCAAACAGACAAATCATGACTTGGAAGAATATGTTAGGAAACTCTTGGATAGTAAGGAGGTGGTAAGCAGTCAAGTAGATGATTTAACCAGCCACAATGAGCATCTTTGTAAAGAATTGATTAAAATTGACCAACTAGCAGAGCAACTAGAAAAAGAGAAAAATTTTGTGGTGGATACTGCTGACAAAGAACTTGAAGAAGCAAAGGTATTACATTTACCACTAATAGGAATTTTTATTGTTGTAACTGACATATAGCATTATATTAGCTCGAGGTGTACAACATGATTATTTCTATATATTGTGAAATGATCACTGCAGTAATTCTAGTTAGCATTGGACTACTGATCAGGATTTTAATTCTACTTTAAACATCATGTAAGTGCAATGGAAAAAGTGACATTCTCGTATCATTTCAAAGTTTTTGAGGTTTGACATTACATTTAAATGTCTACCTAAGGATTAAAATATATTGTACTGCACATTTTATTTCTTTTAAAAGTTTTTGCTCAAAAAATTTCTTAAGTAAGATGTAGTCATGGTAAAAATTTCAGGCAATAGAAATGTTCTGTAGATGTGGTATATATGTATACAATGGAATATGTTTGATTGCTCAACCATCGAACAGAATGAAATCTAGCCATTTACAAGGACGTGGATGGGGCTCAGAAATGTGGCATTATGTATTATGCTAAGTGTATTATGCTAAGCAAAATAAGTCAGAGACATATACCATATGATTTCACTAATACATGGAATTTAGGAAATAAAACAAATGAACATATGGGAAGGGTGGGGGGAAAGAGGGGAAAGTAAACCATAAGACATTCTTAACAATAGAGAATAAACAGGGTTGTTGAGAGATGTGGGTGGGGCATAGGCTAAACGGGTGATGGATGTCAAGGAGGGCACTTGTTATGATGAGCCCTGGGTGTTACATGTGAGTGATGAATCACTAAATTCTAATCCTGAAACCAATAATACACTATATATTAGTTAGCTAACTAGAATTTAATAAAAATTTGGAAGAAAAACAGGAATGTTCTGTATATAGGACATATCTCTCCCTTCCTAATTCTCTCTCTTGCATAGATACCTACCAACAGATAGATAATACATACATTTCCATCCTTTTTTTCTATTTTCACAAAACACAGTTTATTTCACATTATATTTTTTATTTAAAAAATTTTTTAGATTTTATGTATTTATTCATGAGAGAGAGAGAGAGAGGCAGAGACATAGGCAGAGGGAGAAGCAGACTCCCTACGGGGATCCCAATGCAGGACTCCATCCTTGGACCCTGGGATCATACCCTGAGCCAAAGGCAGATGCTCAACCACTGAGCCACCCAGGCATCCCTATTTCACACTTTAAAAGGTTTTGTTTTTTTTTTTAAAGGTTTTTTAATCAAAGTTTTACGTTTCTGTGTATTAAAATGTGTTAGTCTCCACTGCCTCTGAGTTTTATTTCTTTGAGGTTCTCCCCCTTTTAAAAAATCTGAATAGACTTTAATTTTAGAGCAGTTTTGGCAACATTTTAGCAAAATTAAGCAGTAGGTAAAGAGATTTCCCATATGCCTCCTGTCCCTGAATATGGACAGCCTTCCTATTAACAAAGTTACAGACCATCACATCCTGTTCACTAGAAGTGAGTCACTAAGTCTGTACCACTCTTAAGGAGAAGGAAATTAAACTCCATCTTTTGAATTAAGGAATATCAAATCTTATGGACATATTTTATAACCACCAGAACTATATACCGTCTTTTATCTGCTCATTGTAAATTTTTTTTATCATGTATATCTTACTAATACAGTATTTCTCAGCTAACTGAACATAATTTTTTGAACGAAACAGAATTGCAATTTGGCCATTACTAGTTTCTTCATACAATTTATATTTTGAGTAATATAAGGGCTATTATTGGACTGGATCTTTGGTAATTCTTGTCATTACTGTTACATTTACATATGATTCATCAATCAAAAATATTTCAAAATTTAGCATGTGGAAGATGAAGTGTAAAGGCTATTTAAGTTTTTCATCCTCTCCCACCCCATGCTTATCCCTTTGTCTCCCTTGCTTTATTTTTTCTTTTTTTTTTTAAATTTTTTTAAATTTATTTATTTATGATAGTCACACAGAGAGAGAGAGAGAGAGGCAGAGACATAGGCAGAGGGAGAAGCAGGCTCCATGCACCAGGAGCCCGATATGGGATTCGATCCCGGGTCTCCAGGATCGCACCCTGAGCCAAAGGCAGGCACCAAACCGCTGCGCCACCCAGGGATCCCTCTTGCTTTATTTTTTCTATAGCACTTTCCAACTACTGCCTCCTTACTATTTTTTGGAATTTAGCAGACATTCCTTTGCTTTAGGACATTTGCTATAGCTATATCTTCTGCCTGGAATGTTCTTCCAGATTTTTATATGGTTGACCCCTTTCTCTGTGCCCACAGGTCTCCTTTTAACGAGGACTTATCTGATAACCCTATTTAAAATTCCAGTCTGTTCCTTCATAAACACTTCCAATATCTTAACTCTGTTCTTTTTTTCCCCCAATGTACTATAGAATTTGTTAGGTTTTTATTTTTTTAAGATTTTATTTATTGATTCATGAGAGACAGAGAGCAGAGACACAGGCAGTGGGAAGAGAAGGAGGTTTCATGCAGGGAGCCCGATGTGGGACTTGATCCTGGACTCCGAGATCTTGCCCTGAGCTGAAGGGAAGATGCTCAACCACTGAACCACCCAGGCATCCCTTTTAGATTTATTTTTTACTGTCTGCCCAGCTGGAATGTAAGGTCCCCAAAGGCAGAGATCTTTGGTGGTTTTTTTTTTTCACTTTTTTATCTCATTTGCCTAGAACAGATGTGAATGTTCATTATGTATTTTTTTGAATAAGGTAGTAACTGTCATATATTTTACCTATTTTATTTTTCTCTTTTCAACTAGAATGTAAGTTCTACGAGGTCAGAGGTTTTCTTCTTTTTTTTTTTAATTTAAATTCATTTAGTTAACATGTATTACTGGTTTCAGAGGTAGAGGTCAGTGATTCATCAGTTTTATATAACACCCAGTGCTTGTTACATCGCATGCCCTCCTTAATGCCCATCACCCTGTTATCCCATCCCCCTACCCCCCTCCCCTCCAGCAACCCTCAGTTTGTTTCCTATGGTTAAGAGGGTTAAGAGTCTCTTACAGTTTTTCTCCTTCTCTGATTACATCTTGTTTTATTTTTCCCTCCCTTCCATTATGCTCCTCTGTTTTGTTTCTTAAATTCCACACGAGTGAAATCAAAAGACAGTTGTCTTTCTGATTGACTTATTTCGCTTAGCATAATATCCTCTAGTTCTATCCATGTTGTTGGAAATGGCAAGATTTCATTTTTGATGGCTTAGTAGTACTCCATTGTATGTGTATATATGTATACACACACACACATTACATCCTTATCCATTCATCTGGACATCTGAGCTCTTCCCGTAGTTTGACTATTGTGGGCATTGCTGCTATAAACATTGGGGTGCAGATGGAGGGCATAGGTTTTTTGTCTGTTTTATTCCCTGCTATCCCCAGCACAATGTCAGGCACACAGTAGGTTCTCATTAATCATTTGTCAAATAAATGAAAACACTGAGTTAGCATCTTTTTATTTGGACCAGTTGTAATTTTGTTTTTCGGAATGAAATTAGCATTGTTTTTTATGTCTGCAAAAGTAATATATGTTTATTATAAAAATTTCCTTGTGGAAGCGTGAAATGAAGAAAATAACATTTATTGTAATCACATCTTGCTATAATTAGGCATAATCTTATCTTCCTCAGTTTACATATTACTGCTTATGTTCCATCTGTATCTAGGATATGTGTGTATAAATTTCTTTTTCATAGCAATGTGTCAGATAAAATTTTTGGCAGTGTGAGTTTTTATACTAATATGGGCATCTCTATACATAACTTAATATAGATCCATTTCTTTTTGATGTCTACATAATAGTATAAATTAAAGCATTGAAAATTGTCTGTTGGAAACTGCATTAGCTTTTCCAAACTGTACATAAGTTTTGTTTCATACCATTAACCCTTAATATTTTATAAACTACAAAAAAATATGACTGCCAGAGAAATCTTAAAAAAGAACTTGGGTCTAAAGAACAAATGAGGAGCAATAATTCCAGAAAAGTCAAATTTAAAATATAGCAGGAAACAGTTTAGAATAATGAGGGGAAGGTTTATGAATTAAGAAATAAATTTATTAAACTAATATGCCAACTTATAGATTATATCAAATAGATCTTTGTGTAAAAATATAGTTACTGTCCTCTAGAAATATGCAATCTAGTCATATACTAGATATATGATTATGACTACAGGTAGCTATATTATAAGATTGGGTATGTTTGATTTCCTAAAACTGATACAAAAAAATATTTTATGAATTTGGTTGATCTAGAGTTCAGAGGAGAAAGCAAACACTTCTGACTTTGGTGATTGAGGAAAACTTTTATCCTATCCATTCTTTTATGTCTTCCCTATTATCATCTTTAGAATTATAATTAGTAAAAAAAAAAATAGAATTATAATCAGTATTAACATTTTGTTGCAGTTTGTAGGGAGTAATTTGGTAAAATATAACCAATTACTATTTGGTAATAAACATGGGTTAATTGAAAGGAAATGCTGTATTTCATCCTATGTTCTTTTACCACCCAAAGGTAGGTGAACAGAAAGAATAGATTATCTTTTCTTTTGTAAATTATCCACCACATGTTTTTATTTTTAAGTGACTTCCTTTTTTAAGTTTTAATTTTATTTTTTTTTCCTCACTTGGGTGTACTCTTTAATCCCCATCCCATCTTTTACCTATCCCACCCACACCCCACTCTGATAACTCTCAGTTTGTTCTCTGTGGTTAAGAGACTATTTCTTGGTTTGTCACTCTCTCTTTTTTTTCCTTTGCTCGTTTGTTTTGTTTCTCAAATTCCACATATGAGTGAAATCATATGGTATTTGTCTTTCTCTGACTTATTTCCCTTAGCATTAGCTTTCTAGCTTCATCTATGTTGCAAATGGCAAGATTTCATTCCTTTTATGACTGCATAATATTCTATTTTGTGTGCGTGTGTGTGTGTGTATACAACCACATATATATCCATTCATTTTTCGATGACTACTTTGGCTGTTTCCATAATTTGGCTATTGTAAATAGTACTGCAATAGATATAGGGATGCATATATCCCTTTGAATTAGTGTTTTTGTATTTTTTGGGTAAACACCCAATAGTGCAATTATTGGATCGCAAGGTAGTTACAGTTTTAATTTTGGGGGAACCTTCTTATTGTTTTCAGTTTCTGCACTAGTTTGCATTCCCAACGGTGCATGAAGTTTCCTTTTGCTCCACATCCTTGCCAATACCTGTTGTTTCGAGTGGCTTCCTTCTTTGATGTTCTCTTTTTAGTTCAATTTGTTTAAATATTTTTAATCTAAATAACAATTTTCTAAATAACAATTTAAGTATTTTTAATCTAAATGACAATTTTCAAACTTATTTTTCAGATTGAACTCATTTGCCAGCAAAATAATATAATAGTATTGGAAGATACAATTAAAAGGCTTAGATCTGTAAGTATGTTTTTCATAAATGTAGGTTGAGGAATCATTTTTATTCTGTTAGACTACAAAAAAATGATGTATGTGTTTTAGCTCTCATGCATTTTGTGAACAATGAAAAATGTTTTCTAAAATCAGCACTCTGGTGTACAAGGGCACTTCCCATTTGTAAGAGCCTTACCGTTCTTGCTCTATTTCATCGTTACACCTTTCTTTCCTAGGGGTGGAAAGAACTTTTGGTTGGTTCTATTGGTGTCCTTAGCTACTACTTGATTGAATGATGACTGTGAATAATTTAATTCTCAAAATATAAGATGCATTTGTTTACACATTAACTTTTATTCCTCCTAGTAATAAATATTAAGTCAGATGTTGTATGTTAATTCCGAGTAATGTGTTTTTTGTTTTTGTTTTATCTAACAATGTAAAAATGAAAAAGTGCTCTGTTCAGATAATTTAATGCTATCATTTAAAATATTTGGAACACCCTCTCTGAAAGCATATCTGTAATTTTCTCCCAATAAAGTATTGGTAAAATAAAGATTGTAAAAGAAAAAATGCTTCTGAGGTGAATGAGAATGTACTTGAAAGTATATACAAGTATAGAATATCCAGCATTCATTTAATTTATTCATTTGTTGAACAATTATTGAATAAAACTTAGATGCAATGAAAGAAGTTTTAATATTAGCATTCTTGTTTTCTAAGTAAATGTATTCAATTTCTAGGACTTGTAACTAGATCTGTGGACATTTCTGGCCTCTGAAATTTCTTTACCATTTTTTCTTAAAATTATTGAGTAAATTTGAGGTGCTTTCAGTTAAATAAAAATATAGTACATTCAGAAATGCTAGAAAAAGAAGACATCTAGCTGCTTTCTAAGGAGTATAGATGAATTATTTTTATAATACCAAATTTATTATTTTTTAAGGACCCTGTTTATTCAATTTTCATTTAGAAGATGATACTATGGTTTAACTTGAAATAATGACCCAATTTTTTCCTCCTTGGCAAGATAATTTTAGAGACTGAAAAAGCACAAAATAAATCTCCTTCCAGACTTGATTCCTTTGTCAAGACTTTAGAAGCAGACAGAGATTACTACAAGAGTGAAGCTCAAAATTTGAGAAAGATGATCAGAAGTAGATCTAAAAGTCCAAGACGCCCATCTCCATCTTCCCGGGTAGGTTTTGGAAACTTACAAATATTTTGGAGTTTGTTCCTCAAACACAAACGTTTGTTCTTTGATTTACGTAATGTGTAAATAATTCATTTTGATTTGGCATGAATTGGTATATCCAAGAATTGGGGAAACAGATCTCTTTGATGGCACAGTGGTTCATTGAATTTGATTCTTTATCACTAGTATTGGTAATGGTTGGGAGGTAATCAGATAAATGTGGAACAATTTGGGATGAAACTTTTTAAAAGAGGAGTGATTTTTTTAACTTTTTTTTTCATCATTTCCTTTCATTATATAGTCATGTTTGCTTGAGTAGAGATTGTGTACTGCTATTAGTAGCACTGATTTTTAGAACCACATGTCAAAGAAGAATTTCAAATTTCTTATGTAATAACTGTAGGGTACAAACTGTGATGTCGAGCTTTTGAAGACAACAAGAGACCGTGAAGAACTTAAATGCATGCTGGAAAAATATGAGCGTCATTTGGCAGAAATTCAGGGTAATGTCAAGGTTCTTACATCTGAAAGAGACAAGACCTTTCTTCTTTATGAACAGGTAAACTTATTTATAAATGAAATATCTAATTAATAATAATCAATTCCAGAGACAAATAATTTTTTAAGTTCTCTAAGAATGCTTAAATCTCCCAATCAGGGCAGCCTGGGTGGCTCAGCGGTTTAGCGCCACCTTTGGCTCAGGTTGTGATCCTGGAGTCCCAGGATTGAGTCCTGCGTTGGGCTCGCTGCTTGGACCCTGCTTCTCCCTCTGCCTGTGTCTCCGCTTCTCTCGCTCTGTCTCTCATGAATAAATAAATAAAATCTTTTTAAAAATAAATTAATAAATCTCCCAATCAAATTAACATAACATTTGGGAATTACTTTATTCTTAAGATATTCTTAATGAAACCTATCTTCTTAGAGGTGAATTTATGGCCTTCAGAGTAGATGAGGTCTCAGAATGAGAAAGCTATAAAGGAATGGAGAAGTCAAAATGTAGTGTTGGGATTTTTTTTTTTTTCGATTGGCAGAGGAACCTTTAAAAGAGATAAAGAGGATCAGAAACTAAGGTAGAACAATATTAAGCCCAAGGGAGGAAAGAATCTAAAACCTGGTGTTAGAGACAATGTCAAATGTTACCAAATACCAAAAATGGGAACTGAGAAAAGGCTATATAGTGAGGTCATTTTTTGAAATTCTGCAAAAATGTAGGTATAGGAATCAGGCAGTTTACACTCGGGTGGGAGGGTAGGTGCGAGGAGCAGGCAATGGGTACAAACCATGGTGCTTAAAGAAAAAATTATGTCAAATGCAAAAGAGATATGGGATTGCAAATGGGGCAACAAGGTCAAATGACATTTTTCAAGATAGAGGAGGCATGTATTAGTAGAAAGCAGGGAAGAAAGAGCCAGTGGAGAGGGAGCTATTCAGAGTGAGAGGAAATAATTATACAGTTGAGTCTTGAACAAAGTGGGACTATGGGTGCCAACCCTCTTGCTCAGTTGGAAAATCTATGTATAACTTTCGACTCCCCAGAATTTAATTGTAACTAGTCCATTGACCAGAAACTTTAGCAATAATGTAGTCAATTAACATGTTTCTTATATAGGTATTATACACTTCTCTTCCAATAAAATAATCTAGAGGACATGTTAGTAAAAAAATCATAAGGAGGAGAAAATACATTTATAGTAATATATTGTATTTATTGAAGACATCTATGTATAAGTGGACCTTATATAAGTTCAAACTCATGTTGTTCAAGGATCAGTTGTAATTGAGTCAGGAGTATCCTAGAAGACATTTCAGGAGATGAGGTCCAGGATTCTGGTAAAGGCTTTGCTATGGAAATTGAGAGGTAATATATCTTCCTCTGAGACTTGGAGACCAGCTGAATAGTTAGTGATCAAAATCAAGAGAAAGAAAGATTAGGGACTTTTAAATAGCACAGTAGGATATGAAATCACCTGTAGGTGTCCAGTAGGTTTGGGACTTGAGGGTGGTTTGAACAAGTATGAGAGAGTATATTGGGTTGTCAGTAAGGATTGATAGGCCTTCTGTCAGAGTAAAAGTAGCCAGGACACGGAAATGGCATATATATTTATGTAGAGAAGGATGGGAACAGTATAATATTTATTAAAATAGAATTTTGTTGAACCCAAATTTATATAACAAAATGGATGGAGTGTATTACATGCATATTTCTTAGTAAGACATTCTCTCTTGGCATTGATTGCCTCCAAATTTTAAAAAATTTTTAGCAAAGATATAATAAATCAAACTTTTATTTTTTACACATTCACTTGCATTTTTGGGTATCATTTGCATTTATTTATAGAAGCTCACTTAAAAATGTTGCATGCACTTATATATATGGGTTGTATTTAATTGGCTTGATATAAGATAGCTGTATTTATGTCTGTTCTAAAGTTTATTAAATAGAAGTCTATATATTTAAATAATAGGCACAAGAAGAAATTGCCCGACTTCGACGAGAAATGATGAAAAACTGTAAATCTCCTAAATCAACAACAGCACATGCCATCCTCCGGCGGGTGGAGACTGAAAGAGATGTAGCCTTCACTGATTTACGAAGAATGACCACAGAACGAGATAGCCTGAGGGAAAGGCTAAAGGTTTGGGTAAATTTTATCTGTATGACCATTTCTGAAACACAGTAGAGTGACATTGAAAACATTTTTTTTTTTTTTAAACAGATTGCCCAAGAGACAGCATTTAATGAGAAGGCCCATTTGGAACAAAGGATAGAGGAGCTGGAGTGTACAGTTCATAACGTAAAGAAAAATCACTTTTGTGCTTTCGGCTATAAACTGTCAGTAGCTTCCCCCTTTCCCTTGTTTTCCATATTCAGAGAAACTCTTTTATTTTTCTAAGATAGTGTTAATAATCTTTAATATTTAAGATGGTGTGCATGGTATAAATTATCACTTTTTCATTATTTATTTCCTTCCAAAAAAATACAAGTAAAGTCTTTTTTTCTGTTGGGTTGCAAGTGTGTTCTTTTAAAAAACCCATTAGGGATACATCTGTGAGATTTTAGCAACTTTCTCATCTCCCTATTTTATTAAAGATAGCATTGTCAGATACAGAGAAACTGTTTTATTCTATCTAAAGGGTAGCTAAAGTAGAAGAAAGTATTATGAAATTAAAATTAATGAGAAGAATGTATTTAAGCTGAATTTAAAAGTGAAGCATCACTTTTTACTAATCAAGAATTTTAGATGCTATGAATATGTATTTGAGATGTTATGACTATATAAACAAAATTAGGGGAATTTGACTTTCTATTACCAAATTTAATTGAATGTATTTATAAATTCATCTGTATTACGTTATAATGAGAAAACATTACTCAGGAGAGAGAAACATTTTTTTCATAATTCCTTTTTATATGTATAATTTGTTAATGTTTAACAACAAATAAATCCTTTTGCAAATAAGTTAAGTTACATATGCTGCAGTCAAAATGAACCAGATTGAAAATGTAGATGCATATACTGTGATAGGCTTTATGCACAGGTTGTACAGTGGCTTGTTCTTGTTCGTCTTCCACAGTACTTTGTCCATACAGCCTTCCACAACATTCAAATCTAATCTAATCATCTCTTAGTGTAAATCTCGTCATATGCCACAGTTTGCACAAAGAAAGGATGTCTCTCAGGAAGATTTTGTTAGTGGTGGCAATAACCTTGTCATTCTACTTGTATAGCTTGATGATGAACGTATGGAGCAAATGTCAAATATGACTTTGATGAAGGAAACCATAACTACTGTGGAAAAAGAAATGAAATCACTAGCAAGAAAGGCAATGGACACTGAAAGTGAACTTGGCAGACAAAAGGCAGAGAATAATTCTTTGAGGTAAACTAAATTACCTTTAAACAACTAGTTTACTATAACTACTAGATCTGCTTTTTGTATTTTATAATGATAATATTTGTTGACTTTAATTTCTTAGAGGGTTATTATGAAGCATTTGTAGAAATCTCAGCACACATTAAATGATTTCCCCAAATTCCCTTATGGACAGGTAATGTCATACTTTTTCTTTTTTTTAACGATTTTATTTATTTATTCATGAGAGACACACACAGAGAGAGAAGCAGAGACATAAGCAGAGGGAGAAGCAGGCTCCATCCAGGGAGCCTGATGTGGGACTCTAACCAGGCATTCTGGGATCACGCTCTGAGCCAAAGGCAGACGCTCATCCATTGAGCCACCCAGGCGTCCCTAGTAGTGCCATAGTTAACTAGGAATTAAACTTCTGGTAACCATCTTACATTTGCAGAAAGCCTAATGTTTAACTGAAATAGCTTTTACAAAGTCTGTCTGGGTACCAAGCATATTTGACTTTGGCGTTTGAACATGTAGGACCATATAATGGAACCTCTGTTAATTGAATGCCAAGTTGGTACTTAACCCTTCCTACATACTGGTATGGTAGTCAGAGAAATTCCAAATAAAGCAACCTACAGGCAATAAGTATAGGGGAATAAGTTTTTGAAGACCTCCATGTTAGCAGTTTTAGTGTCTTTTGAGGGGAAAGATAGCATTCTACATATTCAGTTATGTTGAATTGCAGTGTATCTGAACATTTGAAAAATAGTAGTTCATATGAGTGTGAAATATATTATTAAGTCTACAGGTAATACTTGGTTCATATTTTCATATGAACTCCGATAGTCCTCTCTTTGATCTTTCAAGGGTGTGTGATACATATGTTGGAATAACTTGTTAGGACAGATAATCACTCATATTTTTCCTTCATTTAGTTTTAAATTTCCTATTTAAAAGGATAATGCAAGCTCAGGTAAAATAAAAATAATAATAAAATGCCACAAAAACAATAACAAAGAAAACCCTGGAGAATAGAAAAAAAGTGAAGATAATTTAAATCATCCATGATTCCCTAACTCACTGAAAACTATTATTAATATAGATCTCTTTATAACCAGGAATATTTCCGTCCATGTTACATGAGCTTTCTATGTAATTGACGTCTTTCTATATTAGCTTACATATTTGGCCAGCCTCACTTAATTGTATATCATAAGCATTGCCAGTATTATTAGAAGTTCCTTGAAAGCATTTTAGTAGTTTATTAAAATATTCTATCAGATAGTTATATGATACTTGGAAGGTTTTTGCATACATTTGTTTTCTTTTAACAGTATTATTAGAGTCTAATTGACATACATTCAGTAAACTGCACATGTTTAAAGTGTTCAGTTTGGTAAGTATGTGTATATACCTGTAAAACTGTTGGCACAATTAAGATAGTGGCCCTATCCATCATTCCTGAAAGTTTCTTCATTTCTCTCTGTAACCTCTCACCTATCCTGCCAATCCCTAAACAACCACTGATTTGCCTTCTGTCCTGGAGATTTGTTTGGATTTTCTAAAATGTTATATAAATGAAATCATATAGTATATATTCTTTTAGGGACTGTTTTCCCTCAGCATAATTATTTTGAAATTTATCCATATACTATCATCAATAGTTTGATTTATTCTTTTCTGTTTATTCTTTATTTTTTTATTTTTATTTATTTATTTATTTATTTATTTATTTATTTATTTATTTATTATTTTTTATTTTTATTTTTATTTATTATTCTTTTCTGTTTATTCTTTATTCTTTTATTTTTATTTATTATTTATTTATTTATTTATTTCTGTTTATTCTTTTCTGTTGCTGAAGTATTCCATTTTATGAATATATGGACATTTCAGTTGTTTCCAGTTTGGAGCTATAACAAATAAAACATTCTTGTGTCTTCTTACGTGAATCTTTGTTTGGACATAGCTTTTATTTTTCTTGGATGAAGTACATAAGAGTACAGTAACTGAATCATGTGATGGATAAATGTTTAACTTTTGAAGAATATATTAAACTATTTTCCAAGGTGTCTGTACTGTTTTATTTTACATTTACACCAATAGTGTATGAGTGTTGCAGGTGTTCTGTAGCCTCATCTCAACACTCGGTATGCATTATCTTTTAATCTTAACCATTATAATAGGTATGTATTATGGTTTTAATTTGCCTTCCCTAATGACTAATGATTTTGAGCATCTGTGCATGTGCTTATGTACCATACATTTATCTTCTGTAGTGTCTATTCAAATCTTTTGCACACTTCTATTGAATTGTTTATATTGTTATCAAATTGTAAAAGTCCTTTCTATATTCTAAGTCCTATGTCAGGTATATTTTGCAGGTTTTCCCCACTATGTGGCTTACCTTTTTATTAAGTGTGTTTTAAAAAGCAAATGCTTTCCATTTTGATTAAGTGAAATTTATTGATTTTTAAAAAAAATTATATTCAGCTTTTTGTATTCTTTTAAAGAAATTGTTGTCAAGCATAAGGTCACTAAATTTTTCTTCTGTGTTTTCTTCTAGCAGTGTTATAGTTCTTTTTTTTTTAAGATTTTATTTATTTATTCACAAGAAACACAGAGAGGAGAGAGAGGGAGAGAGGCAGAGACGCAGGCAGAGGGGGAAGCAGGCTCCAGGCAGGGAGCCTGACATGGAACTCGATCCTGGGTCCCCAGGATCACACCCTGGGCTGAAGGCAGTGCTAAACTGCTGAGCCACTCGGGCTGCCCTACATTATAGTTCTTAATGTTTAAGTCTGCTATCCATTTCAAAGTTTGTATATAGTACAAGATATAGATCAGAGTTCACTTTTTTTTTTGCATAAAGATATCCAGTTGTTCCAGTATTTGTTGAAAAACTATCCTTTCTATGCTATATTGTTTTTGTATTTTGTAGAAGGTCAATTGTCCATATATGTATAGGTCTTTTCTTGATGATCTATTTTGTCTGATTGTTCTATGTATATATCTTGATCCCAATATAGCCCAGCCAATTACTTTGTGTGTGTGTGTGTGTGTTTTTAAGGTCTTCAGATTAGGTAATGTTAGTCCTCCAACTTTGTTCTTTCTCAAAGTAGTTTTGGCTATTCTGTTGTATTTTATTTTAATTTTAGAATCAGTTTCACAGTGTATACAAAAAAAAAAAAACCTGCTTGGGAATTTGATTGGAATTGGGAAAAGTGACATCTAAGGAATATGAAGAGATCCCACTCGCAGAGTATATTGCTCCATTGTTTAGATCTTTAATTTTCCTCAGCAGTGTTTTGTAGTTTTTAGTGTATAGGTCCTGTACTTCTTTTGTCAAATTTATCTCTATTTCCTATTTTTTGATGCTGTTGGAAGTGGAATTTTTAAATTTCACTTTCTGATTGCTTATTGCTTATATATGAAAATACAATTGTTTTTAAAAATAAACAATAGGGGATCCCTGGGTGGCGCAGTGGTTTGGCGCCTGCCTTTGGCCCAGGGCGCGATCCTGGAGACCCAGGATCGAATCCCACGTCGGGCTCCCGGTGTATGGAGCCTGCTTCTCCTTCTGCCTGTCTCTCTCTCTCTCTCTCTCTTTCTCTCTCTCTCTCTCTCTCTGTGACTATCATAAATTTTAAAAAATAATAATAAATATTTTTCAAAAGTTTTAGATTAACAGAGCAATTGTGAAGATGGTAGAGTTCCTACATACCTCATACCAATTTCCTCTATTAACATCTTACACTAGTACATTACATTTGTTACAATTAATGAATCAGTTATTTGATACATTACTAACTGAAGTCCATACTATATTCAGATTTCCTTAGTTTTCCTCTAATGTCCTTTTTCTGTTCAGGATCCTATCCAGGACACAAAATTACATTTAGTTGTCATGTCTCCTTAGGCTTCTCTTGGCTATAACAGCCTCATACTTTCCTTGTTTTTGATGACCTTGACAGTTTTGAGGAATACTGATCAGGTATTATGTAAAATGTCTCTCATTTGGGGTTTGTCTGCTGTTTTTGTCATGATTAGACTGGATAATTTCTTTTTGAGAGTGGTCACAGAGGTAAAATGCCATTTTAGGATATGTGTGTGTGTGTGTGTGTGTGTGTGTGTGTGTGTATATATATATGGTATTATGAGTACATAATGTTCATAAATTTATTATCATTGATTTTGACCTTGATCACCTGGCTGAGGAAATGTTTGCCTTTTCCAGAACGTCATATAATTGAGATCATACAGTGTACAACCTTTTCAGACTAGCTTCTTTCACTTAGTAATGTGCATTTTAGGTTCATTCATGTTTTTTCATACCTGGATAGCTTATTTCTTTTTATCATTGAATAATAATCTATCATCTGTATGTACTACAGTCTGTTTATCCATGCACATATTAAAGGACATCTTGGTTGCTTCCAGTTTTTGGCAATTATAAATAAAGCTGCTGTAAGCTTTCTTTTTTTTTCTTTCTTTTTTTTTCAAGATTTTATTTATTCACTTTGTTAGAGAGACAGAACATAAGCAGGGGAAGCAGTAGGCAGAGGGAGAGGAAGAAGCAGGCTTCCCGCTGAGCAGGGAGCCCAATGTGGGGCTCCATCCCAGGACCCTGGGATCATGACCGGAGACAAAAGCAGACACTTAACCAAATGAGCCACCCAGGTGGCCCATGCTGCAAACTTTCATATGCAGGCTTTTGTGTGGACAGAGGTTTTCAGATCAGTTCAGTAAATACTTAGGGGCACAATTGGTGAATCATAGAGTAAAACTGTATTAAGCTTTATAAGAAACTGTTCAACTCTGTCAAAGTGACTATACCATTTTGCATTCCCACCAGCAATGAGTGAGAGTTTCCGTTGCTCCATATCCTTATTAGCATTTGGTTTGTCACATTTTTGTATTTAACCATTATAATAGGTGTATAGCAATATCTCATTGTTTTAATTTGCTAATGACAATTTATGTGGAGTATCTTTTCATATTGTTACTTGCCATCTGTATATTTTCTT